TACCTGATTAGTTGCCATGACTAAAAATGTAAAATTGAATATTTAACCATTAATTTTGATTTATTTCTATATTGACAAGCTAGAGTAGAAAGAATGAATATATATACGGATTTTGAATAATTTTAGAAGTCTAAACGTTTGTTTTAAAAGTAATTTTAAATATCTTACAGTTTACTGATTCCGATAAAAGTACATGTTCCATTTTATTCTCCTACAGTTATATCGTATGATGTATAATTTCAAGTCAAGCTTTCAGTAATAAATCTTCATCTGCTTTCATTTTTTTGGAATTTATTTTGTTGTGTTGAGTCACATCACTTTGACGGTTTTTACTTTACTTCCATCGCCTGTTACTCCCAGTGGAGAATAGACCACCAATCAGCTTTCTCCAACACACTGTTCTGAACCTTCCTTTCTAGTTCTATCCAATTATTGTTCATTCTCCTCATATCTGTCTCCATTTCTCGGCATAAGGTGTTCTTTGGTCTTCCTATCCTTATTCGGTCTTGAGAATTCCGAGTGAGGGGTGGCCCCGTGACACAGTTCGGTGCTTTCCTCAATGTGTATCCTATCCACTTCCACCACTTCTTCCTCATTCCTTCCTCCTCTAGAATCTGGTTTGTTCTCTCTCACAATAGGTTGTTGCTGATAATGTCTTACCAAAAGAATACAAGTATTTTGTGTAGACAATTGTTGATAAACACTTTTATCTTCTGGATGGTGGGTTTCGTAGTTGTCCAGGTTTCCGTTCCATACAGTAGAATTGTTTTGATATTTGTATTGGAAATTCCGACATTGATGTTGGTTGACAGACAGTTGTTTTGAGTTCCAGATGTTCTGCAGTTGCAGATATATGCTGCTCTTGCTTTGCCGATCCGAACGTTCACATTTACACCAGACCCACCATGTTCATCAATGATGCTGCTCACATATGTGGAGGTTTTTATATCCTCCAAAGCTTCTCCGTCAATTGTGACTTGATTGGTGCATGTTGTGTTGTATTGGAGAATCTTACTTTTCCCTTTGTGTATGTTGAGATCTACTGATGGTGAGGCTGCTGCTACACTGGTCGTGTTCTCCTGCATTTGTTGTTGTGTGTTCGATAGGAGGGCCAGATCATTTGCGAAGTCTAGATCATCCAGCCACATCCTAGCTGTCCACTGTATCTCATGCTTCTCCCCAGATGTTCACGTCTTCATGATTCAGTCGATCATCAGGAGAAAGAGAAAGTAAGAGAGAGTAAGCAACCTTGCCTGACACCAGTCTTTACTTCGAACGAGTATGTGAGCTGTTCTGCATGCACGATTTTTCAGTTTAATCCATTACAGGAATTTCGTATGATATTGACTATCTTCTGAGGCACACCATAGTGTCGAAGAAGCCTCCATAGTGTTGTCCTGTCCAGGCTATCAAATGCTTTTTGGTAGTCAATGAAGTTGATGGAGAGTGATCAATTTTATTCAAGTGATTGTTCCACAATGATCAGTAGTGTTGTGGTTTGGTCGGTACATGATCGATCCTTACGGAATTCAGCCTGTTGACATTTTGACAGTGGTTTCATCGATATCAGCCACAACAGTTTCTAATCACTTCTCATAAGTTATAGTTAACACAAATAGGGCAAATCATGGAATTATGTGTATTTCACGCATCGACTCATAAACTATGTATTGAAAGTAAGAAGAGTATCATCTATTTCAAAAATGTATGTCAATAGTGTTTTCAGAATAAATGTGAGAAATTAATTGGAATTCTGAATTATAAGTTGAACATCTTTGTTTAATATATCTATTGACAGTTTAGAAAATTCAAAGTGAATGTAAACAACGAAATTATAACAAAAATAAATTCTTATATAATTTCTAAAAAAATTTCTTCAATCTTAATTAAAAGTTAGTAATTCTAATTCAATTCAGGTACATCCGGTTGACGAGTCCTAAATGGGAAAAAAAACGAGCATTAAAGTGGATTCCACTGGTAGCCATTATCCATCTTTGCTTCTAAAGATTGTGACTTAAGGTAATATTGAGACAATCCGCACAGGATGCATATATGGTAACATGAGACTGATCAATTACAGTCCTAAATAACAATGGGAAGATACATGTAAACAATATCAAGTGAAATCTTGGTATGGTTGATCAGTTTGAATACTATAAAATGTTAAAGGAATTCATTAGTTCTTCAGATTTATTAAGAAAGTAAAATATATAAATATATATGAATATTTAGAGTATTTGCAGATTAGGATAAGCATGTTTATAGTCTTTCAGTCTTTGAGCTGGATATGTTCGGTTGTGAAACTTTCATCGTTCAGCTGAACAACATCATTATTAAGTATATCAGTGATTTCATTAAAACTCAACAATATCCACAACTCCTTACTGAATTTTATTTCCATGGTACATTTCTCTGTATTGACAAATCTATTGAGACTCCAATGTAATACTCAAATATTCAAACATTTGATTATTCCATACGATAACATCAAAAAAGTCAATTACTACTAGGTTAGGCAAATCAGTATGTTTAGTTTATTTCATAATTAAATGAAAATAGTCTTTACATACTTAATAAAGCCAACAACAACAAAAAATTCATTGTTTAGATTAGAATAGTAATTTCACATTATGCTTATGTCATATTTTCGTCAGAATATCGAAAATAGAAGAATTTAAATGTCACCTATATGTAAATACGTAGCTCAGCAGATATCTGAGCAAATTATTCCAGAAATATTCCGTAAATTAACAAAGTAAATATAACTTAAATAGTTACAAGTTCATAGAGATTGATCGAATTAGAATGACTATTGTGTTTTTCAATTGTGTTGTTAGTTTACACTTGATTGGGTGTGCACATAAATAAACTAAAAAATATTCTACTAATATTTGACATAATCATTTTTACATATAAGTGTAGGGATATAAAATAATTGTAAACCATTATGAATAACATTACAATGTCGGTTAGGGTTTTTTTAGCGAGTTAGTTTTCTATGGGATGGGTTCGTTAACCCCGTACCCAACCCTCTTCCTTTATCCGGGCTTGGGACCGGCAGCAGCTCCAGAGGAGCTCCAGGCGGCTAATGACCTATTGAACACATATATTAGGAACAAGCTGATATTCAAGTACATTTACATTATTGACAGGGTTACTGACGATGAATATGTAATGATGCCAAGTTAATTCATAAAAACAATTCCCAGAATTATTTTAAAATATACTGAAGATTTAAGCGTATAAACTCAAGTTTTAGTAACCCAAACCGTATAAATTGATGTAACAGTGAATAATTCAAAATAGCATATAAAAATACAAAATAATATCTACAGCCTTTCATTTTCATATCCCTATCATATAGTTTGGTTATTATAAATGTTTTACAGTAGAAATGATATCCTAATTAAGTAATAACTAATGTAACCCTTCAACTGTAATATCTGAAGGTCCTGGATCCGTTTTCATATTGAGTCTGGTATGTGTACGGCTTGAAAGTTGTAAATTAAAATGAAAAAAATGAAACCAGTTGATGTTTACTGGTATCTAATTGTTGATTAGGTGTTGTTAGTCCAAATTAAATAAAGTTTTCATAATCTGAATAAATAATTCAATTTTAAACAATTGGAGACATGATTTAAATATTTTGAAAATATTTTCACAGTTGAATTCACGAATCTATCTCATCTAGACTACCATTGAAAACCTGGAAGCATTGAACAGCTGTTTCGCTCTAGTATGGGACTCCTCAACAGTGCGTATCCACAATCCCGCACGTGGGACTTGAACCCAGGACCTTGAATTTTGCGAGCGAACGATTAACTTTTAGACCACTGAACCAGCATCCAACGGTGTTAGTGCCTAAGTTCAATCGTTCGATAATCTTGTGCAACCCAGTGCTTCCAGGTTTTCAATGGTTATCCAGCATAAATCAACTTATGAATTCAAATGTAAAAATACCACAATCTTCACATATCCTTATAATGAATTTGAAAAGAATTAATTAATAGTGAAGTTTGTTTTCTACCTAATCGGATACAAAAAACCTTATTACAAATGTTCGATCTCTGATATATAACTGTCATGTGACCAACACAAGGAGTTTTCCAAACAGATTTTCTGAACTAATCAATACACTAATGAAAAAAACCTATTGTTTACTTGTAAACCTGTCAAGGTTCCACTAAAACTAATTGCAAACAAACCAAAAAATGAAATTGTATAATAAATGTTTCCAATAATTATTGACATTTACTGTAACATTCATCATAAGTACTGCTGATTTTTTTAAATGTAGGGTTATAGATTTATGATAGAATAACTAAACAAACACTTAGGTTTTACTCGACATTAATTGACATTTATATAAAAGCAAGGATAGAAAAAACAACTTAAGATTAAGGCATTAATAACTTTCTCTTTTATACGTAAACTATTACGTATATCGAACACGGTAAATGAAACACTGTTTCCTTCTCGAAGACATTATATTGAAGTTAAAGGTATCATTAAGAATTGCATATACACACATCTATTGAAATAATGTTGTATGTACCATAAAAAAACAACATTCTATGCAATTTGTAAATATGAGTGGGTTGGTTGAAGTTAGACATTAACACCGTTGGATGCCGGCCGGCTCATTGGTCTACTGGTTAAGTGCTCGATCGCGAGACTGGCAGGTTTCGGATTCAAATCTCTCGGGAGGCGGCATCGTGGATGCGCACTGCTGAGAAGTTCCATACTAGGACGAAACGGCCATCCAGTGCTTCCATGTTTTTCATGGTGGTCTAGCTTCAATTAGCTAATGATTTCAATTATTGAAATGGCTTAATGCATTTCGATCAAATAAGACTTAAGTCTACATATTGTCTTATTTCAATATTTCAATGATTTACATTCCCATTTCAAATTGTTAACCGGTCACTACTTATTTTTTTTTAAGAACAGTTGATGAGAATACACTCTATATACAAAGTTTTAATTAATTTTATTTTTAGAAAAAAGTATACATTTTCAATATGCTTCAATTCTATTTTGGATTATATGGATTAGCTATCTTTTTATGTTTTCTTGGGTTTTTATATGCTTTAATTGAAAAAGCATATAAACAGTTAAAAACTAATATAAACAAATCTCATTTATCAAATTATTCTGAAATCATTTCATCCAATTCAAATCAAAATAGTACAACTCATAAAAAGATTTCAAGTATCATTGAAAAGGTTGAACAAAACAGTTTAATGGACACAATGAAAACCAATGAAATCTTTGAAAGTAAGTTAATTCATTGATATATCTTTCTGTAATTTAAATAGATTATCCATAAAGCTTAGAAATGAAATCATATCATTTGATATTGTTTTCTTACTAAACATAAGTTTAAATTTATTTAGTGTTATTTTACTTGTATCTTCCCATTGATATTTAAGACTGTAATTGATGAGTCTCATGTTGGCATATGTGCATCCTGTGCGGGTTGCCTCAATATAGCCTTAAGTCACAAGATTTTTAAGCAAATATATATAGTGGCTAGCAGTGGAATCCACTAGTGAACATCAGCTCTGAGATGCAGGTACATCAAGCTGACGAGTCCCAGATAGGACGAAACGCGCGTCAAACTAGATTCCACTACTAGCCACTATCCATCTTTGCTTAGATATAAGTTCGTTTTGCAGTTTATTAAAAAGTATCAATATTCATGACAATTTTAGGTTGAATGAAAATAATAACAACAAGAGCATAAAAACAACCAATTTAAGCAAACCAGTTGTATTGCCGGGATTAGAGAGAAAATATTTTCAAAAAACCAATAAATCACTATTTTGTTTACGAAAAATACAAATGCCACCTATTTTTTCTATCGAAATAAGATGATCTGTATTATTATTTTATTTGTTAGTTGTTGTTTGTAATCAGAAGGGGTGTTTTGTAGAAACTGTAGTAATTTTATAGTTGAATTTATAAGTTAATTGAAGCTAGATTACCATGGGAAACCTTAAAGCATTTGATGGCCGTTTCGTTCTATTATAGGATTCCTCAACAGTGCGCATCCACGATCCTGCAATGTAAGATTCGAGATAGATAGGTCCTGGGTTTGAATTTTGTGAGGTGGGATCATGGATGCACACTGCTAAGGAGCAACACACTAGGACGAAACGGCTATTCAGTGTTTGTAATCAGTTAATTTCTGTTCAACATAATGTTATACCATAACTCTTTATTCTTCCATTCTGATGGTATGGACTAATTGTTTTAAAGTATATGAAATCGCTGACGAGATGTGTAATATAAATATTATTTCATTCCTTTTTTGGTCAATAGTTATAACAACCTGATAATCGATTAGATAGGCAGAAATACTGAACTACTTTGCATTTTAGGATGGTGGATGTTCACTGCTGAGGAGTTCCATACCAGGACGAAACAACCGTCCAGTGCTTTTAGGTTTTCCGTGATGGTCTAGTTTACATTGACTCAGGAACTGAACTATTAAATAAACTAAACATTTGGGATCATAATACAGTTTTTTGATGTACTCTGTACTTCGAACTATATGATATAATCATAATTTTTTTTGATCTCACAAAACAAGACAAGAAATTTATTATAACTTGTGGTTTTATGCCCCCATCAACGTTTAACGTAATAAGACCGCCAATTATAGAACAGTGATTTATCGACAGATCCAATGATGCATAAAACCCGTACGACCAGTCTAGAGTTTTTATCGACCTTGTTTCCCGCCTAGCTCTGCCTGTTAAGTCCGGAACACCAATCTCAGCCTTCGCGATATGAATCATATATTTCAAATATACCGGGTTTATATACCAACCAAACAGACCACATTGTACCATAAAATAGGAAACAACATTTGTACAAGATTTAGCCAAAAGTGACTGTAAATGTGGGATACTGTAATTAGTAAACTGGGAATAACTTAAGAATGGTAAATCATATAATAATATTCTGTAGGTCAAAATAAAGCCTATAATGAGAGGAATATGAATATGCATAGTTTAGTTACTTAATGCTTATACGATAAAAATATATGTAAAGTACTAATCCAGAAATAGATCCCAACAGTTGCCATTCATTATTTTTATCGGGATATAACAAAATTAATACCTATAAAGTTAATTAATAAACTATTCAAGTCGGAAAATTAATACCTTTAAAATGCCTCTTTTAAGAAACACATAATCATCATTTTATTACTAAGTGTATTTGAATACGTTCTTTATAATTTTCATTTATCAACTTCTTGTTTATAACAATCATATCTTTGGGTAATGTAATTTTATCACTGTGGTAATTAATTTTCCATACTGACCCTAATAGGATGTAACTAAAATTCTATCACCAACATTTACTACAGTGCTAGCACTGTAATGTTTTTTAATATATATATTTTATTAATAGGATATGACTTAGATAGGTTAGTTTTATTCTTGTTCTATTCGAAAACAGATTATGTTTGAAAAAACCAAACCATTACCACATATCACTGAATATTGATTGTGAAAATAAGTTAATTTGAATTAGGTTGTTGTATAAATAGTACAATATTTCTGTTCATGTCAAAGAGGTCACTAAAGTAAACACATTAGAACATTTTAAAGCAGTTGTTTTAAATATTCTAAGGATATAACATTGACATAAGTAAATATGGTCACTTATTTAAATTAGTATAAATAGTTATGTAATAAAGGTAGAGTTTATTAACTTTCAAAAAGATCTAAAATAAAAGTTTACAAAAGTAATCAGTTAGGTAATAATATTTAACATTAATTAAACACGAATAGATTTTGATAACTGGACGAGAGTTTTAAAGATCTTTCTATATCAAACACACTAACCCTTTTTATACTCTTGAATTGTATTCCATTTTATAATATATTTCATATTTACATTGAATAAAGATAATCAAAGAATATATCCCAATAAAGCAATAGTATTGATAACGTATAAACTAATACAATAACAATTTATATATTATTTATATTTGATTACATTCAACTTAGGTTCTTATAATCAAGAGAATAATGAAAATCAACTCAATGATTCAGATATAAGTACACCAACTGAAGAAATGAAAACAATAATAAATGGAAAATACATTGAAAATAATCATGATCAAATTCATGCCAAATTAGATATATCAATGAAATCATTCTCCGAACGTCGACAAGAACGTCGTAAGCGTTATAAAGCTAAGAAAGGTCAAAGTTCATCATTTGGTTGCTTTTCAATCAATTCTTCTATAGATGAATATGATACTGGAAATACACTTATAGAAGATTCAGATGAGACAACAAATGTTAGCAATTGTTCAATGTTATCAGATAGTAATGATTCTCAACCGGATTATTTTATTTTGGAAACACATAATATGTGTGAATTAAGAAATTCAATACAAATAACTAATTTGGATGATGCTGAAACTGACAATATTAATCATAATGATATTAATATAATGGATAAAACGGATTCTTTAGATGTGAGTAAGAGTTATTTCATGTTTCATATATATATGAGTCTGGTAAATCAATAATGCTTGTTTTAGTCTAAAACATTTGTGTTCTTCACATTCATGATTACATATCGCAACGAAGCCATAAATGTCACATTTTGCAGTCAAAACGATATCATTTATGATGAGCTTAGGAATTAGCAGTTTTGAACTATAGTATATTAACGATAGTTTAGGTATACAGTTCAATATTACTGCTGATCATCCGCTACAATTTTGAACTAAAATTCATAAATTTGATCTCAAATAAGTATAAGGGATCAAACTAATTGTTTGTAAATCAAACAACGAATTAGTTGAATATTATATTTTATCATTATTAATAAATCTTTTAAAAATTTCATGTAGAAGTTAGCAATGAATTGGGGTCGTTTTTAGATAAATATATGCTCATAATAACTGGCTATAAAATGAACAACACATACCAACCAAGAATATTGTTTTCATTTAAATCTTCATTAACCATTTCTTTAATACAGAGGTTATTTCTATATACAAATGTAAATTACTAAACCAGTCAAGGCAATTTATCAGTCAATTATAAGAATTAAATAGATTACATAATATAACATAGTAATTAGAATGTATAAACCGATAATAGGAAGACTTAAATAATCAATTATAAGTTTGAAATAGGCATTCTGAATTAATTCATTTAGTGAATGCTATATATTAAGAAAAACTAATTGGGATTCAGTCAGGAAAGATATTTTCAGACAGATATATTTATAGGCAACTCACTATACTACTATTATGGGATGTACTCATTACTTACAAAGCTTATGATCTGAAAACAGTTTATTATTTAACAATTTAAGTGAATATTACCCATATCAAATGTCTTAGTTCCTTATTAGTTCATAAAAATACTGTTATGTAATTCTTATGAATTTATCAATGTAAGTTGCTTATTCATCCAATTTATTGACTAAATTCGGCATTTATTGTATACAAAATTAAGGATGAATTTTCATTTCAGTTAGCTAATTTGCTTATTGTTTAGTGTTAAGCAAAATGGTGATATATATGTATAAACTGGAACGCAAGAGATGTTTGATGTAAAACGGACACCCCCAAATGCCCTAGTAAGGCCGAGGGTAGGGAGAGTCAGCTCTCTCTTTCAAAAATGCTCTCACTTGGACATGTACAAAGAGCCACTCTGTCAGGGAAGTCCTATTCACTAACTTCTCGCGGCATTACTGTTGTCTACGAAATTGTGAAGACGAAAAGCGAATGTTCGGCGCATTAACCGGGTTGGTGGATATAGAGGATCCACCTAGGGGAGTTGGAAAACCCTCATTCCAAACCAATGGTGAACGTAGGCCCCAGAATCCTGAGGAAACAAATGGCGTATGAACCATTTTTTGGTCATTGATTATCATGGGACTGTACCTCCTCATGTTACCCCACTGCCTTGTGAATCAAAACTTTAGGTCAAAGGCATTAGGCGTGGTTCCTTAAGAACACCACCTGTTTCGGTTTGTACACCCGGGCAGTATCATAGCCCATACACAAATCAAATGAATTGTATGGCGCAAATGCATTCGATGCCCCTATGTACTAATATTTATATGTTCAAATAAAATAAAATGACCCCCATTCTTATTGATGCACATCTATGTAAATATTCCGACTATTCAATAAATTCACTTTAAATAAGTCATTACATTTATATCAACAACAAAAAAAAATATTAAAATTCATTTTCTGAAGTGAGTTATAAATTTTACTCTTTGTCCACTAGCAAATGTTTGCTTCATATCACATACACATTCAATATGTATAAATTGGGAAGTTTACTAAAAAGTACACTGATAAAATGTTTTCAAAAAGTGCATTAACACCATTCACACCATTCACCCTGATTTTATTGTTTAATTATTTTTGAATTATTTACACATTAAATATCTTTCTAGAAGATCTTAATTTGAAATTTCCATGAATATTGATAAGCAGTGATATGCAATAATGATCTTTGTACTTAGCAAATAAGAAAGTTTGGTAAAAAAAAATCTTTGAATTTACTAAATTCAATCGTCCATTATGTTAGAATTATATATATAGTACTGCTAAAAATCTATGAACTGGAGATATTACTGTGAATTATATTTCATTTTTTTAAGTACTATACTTTATTGTTTCCTCCATTAATGATAACTTTCCTGAGTGTTTCTTTTATTATTATAACATATTCTTTATAATAGACTATAGAATCTACTTGTTGCTTATCGTTCAGTTTGGAAATAAGATAGATTATTGATTGAATGCATTAATGTTCACATGACTATCAACTAATGTACATGAATTGAATCCAGTTATCAGATTAGAAACAACTGTTATTTAAATTGCCTTTTTTCTCATATCATAGTATCAAACTAGAAAGTGTATAGGCACATCGAATCTCGCAGGGCGGGATTGTGGATGCGCACTGCTGAGGAGTTCCATACTAAAAGGAAACGGCCATCCACTGCTCTCAGGTTCTCCATGCTGATCCAGCTTCAATTCACTCATCAATTCAACTATAAAATTATTAAAATCTCCACAAAACCTCTTCTCAAAATAATTATCGTCAACATCATAAACAACATGGTGATGATCGTCATCGTATGCTCACTAGTGACTGGCTTGAAGAGGTATTTCCTGGAGTTCTAGTGAGAAGCAGTGACCAGTGGGGTTCAACCGGGTCTGTTGTGAGGTGGTAACTGACTGAAGACAATGGTGAACGGTGGGTGAATTTCGTGGATTGGTTGAAGTGAGAGATTAACACCTTTGAATGACGTCTCAGTGGTGTAGAGGTGAAGCGTTGACGCGCGAGACTGATAGGTGGTTGGTTAGGGTCCGACGGGGCAGGATCGTGGATGCGCACTGCTGAGGAGTCCCACAATAGGACGAAACGGCCGTCCAGTGCTTCCAGGTTTCCAAAATTGGTGGTCTAACATCAATCGGTTCATGAGCTCAATAAAAAAGCATAATAAAAAAGTGATGATTCCCCCACCTCAAATTAATAGAGATTAATAATGAATATAAAAATAGAAAAAGCTAAGTAACTAATGAATGAAACCTATTGATTTATCGAAAAAAAATAAAGACAATTTATTAAAGAAAGTTTAGCTTTTATTAATGTCATTTACCAAACCTTCACAATCGTATTTATAGTTAATTGTATCATGTAAAAGATGATTGAAAATATTTCTAAGTATCGGAACTGATTACGTAATATACCGAAAATGGAAATGAAGAATATTAAGAAATTGTGACTATAGAATTGTATTACGTCACAAATTGTTTGTAGACATAAATAATGAAAGGAAATGATTTAATCATCTAACTTCTGATGAAAAATTGTTATGATGAAAATATTTTATGGAAGTAAGATAGTTAATTATTTAATATTTATGAAGGATAGAATGAATTAAATTCGTATTCATAAGTAGTCAATATTTATGAGGAAATAGTGCAGTGGTAATGACTATAGATTACAAAGTATGGAAGCTACGAACGGTGTTACTACCATTATAACTGAGAGATTGGACATGTCGCCCTTGTACATAGAAATTAGGCTAGAATAGTTGAATCGCTAAAAACTCTATGGTACATAAGTTCCTGATTTGTATTCCTTTTGAGTTACTCTTTTACCCTTATGCATTATTTCGAAAGAGAATTCTAGTGAGACAACCTGACCAACGTTTGGAAAATATCTGACAGGTGAACTATTAACTGACTCTGTTAATCCTATAAATAACTAAATAGGAGAATGATTAGAGAAGCGTCCTGAGAGTGCTCAGTTTGTGTTGCGATTACAATTCGTCCCACGAGAATAAGTAAACATATTAATATTATTATGGTCTAAACATGAAGATTACGCTTCATAAATTCACGGATCAAAAGACGACTGAGAATTAAATGATCAGTTGAATTTGGAATTATTATTTATTGCTGCTATTTAGGTTGCTTCTAAATTGAGTCATAAATTATTTAAGTTCCACCATTTTCTTTATCTTGCTGAAATATGTGTATATTAATCAAGGTAGGCTTTTGTTACATTTCATCTATTTGGAATGCTAAAAAGAAGAATCTACACTCTTCCTGATTTCATCAGTTATCCTTTCCGTCTTTTATTGACTTCACCTTGGTATTATGTTATTTTTTTAGGTTATTACAAAATACTGTAATGTGGAAATCTGTTCATATATTTGCATTCTGTCTATAGATCGATGCTTTAACATAGTATGGATTTATTTATTCACCTTTAAGAAGTAGTGTTTGTGTGATAATTAGAAGTATTTGAATTGTAATATGAACTAAGAATCCCAGAAATAACGTAATCGGATCAAGAAGTACTAGATAAGCACAAACGAATGTACTATATTTAGAATTTGAAATCAAGCATTCAACAAGTACAAAGGTATCATTAGTTCATTCAAACATCACAGTTAGTTTGAGGATAGATGATACTACTTGGTTTTAAAAATCAACCTAGCTTGCTATCCCAAGACTATCTTTTGGCAATCAGGTTATAGACTCAGATTAGTGTATTTGAAGATATCAAATTAAATTACTTAACTGATCTAATATTTAGTTCTAACTTGATTCTATTTTATTAATATAATATACACAGTTTGCTCAGGTGAAATATATTTCCCACATTTCCATATATTTTAGCATTCAGAAAAACACGTATTTAGATAAAAAGGAAAAGTTAATCCATAAAATGGCATATTTAATTGATGAAAAATAATTTTACTTGGAACCAATAAATACAAACCGATAATTTCTTTGAGCTTCAATAAATACGCTCATGTTTTTATTATCACGCTTCGTTTAGTATCTATCTATCTATCTATCTATCTATCTATCTATCTATCTATCTATCTATCTATCTATCTATCTATCTATCTATCTATCTATCTATCTATCTATCTATCTATCTATCTATCTATCTATCTATCTATCTATCTATCTATCTATCTATCTATCTATCTATCTATCTATCTATCTATCTATCTATCTATCTATCTATCTATCTATCTATCTATCTATCTATCTATCTATCTATCTATCTATCTATCTATCTATCTATCTATCTATCTATCTATCTATCTATCTATCTATCTATCTATCTATCTATCTATCTATCTATCTATCTATCTATCTATCTATCTATCTATCTATCTATCTATCTATCTATCTATCTATCTATCTATCTATCTATCTATCTATCTATCTATCTATCTATCTATCTATCTATCTATCTATCTATCTATCTATCTATCTATCTATCTATCTATCTATCTATCTATCTATCTATCTATCTATCTATCTATCTATCTATCTATCTATATTTTCTTTCATTTTTTCTGTCTCTCGATATATATATATATATATATATATATATATATATATATATATATATATGAATACTTTGCTAATGTACAGCTCACTGTAGTATTCGTCTATATGTATAGTTATTGATACGACTAAGCTATGTAATTCATCTTGTAGAATATACAGAATATAATTTGCGATAAGATTTAGGGTGTGTTTTTCACCTTATTTTAGAATAATTAATCGAACAAACCTGTCATATCCTAGCGTTAATGTTAAGACCGGGACTTGGTCCCAGTACATCTCTTTTTAAATGCCCAATGTATTATCCATTGAGCCATTGAATCGAAATATATACTAACATTTTCCATGGGTATAAATTTTAATTCAATTTTATATTTTCGATACAACTGTCAACTAAATATCTTACCTAAATTCAGTCAAGAACATCACACCACAAGATAATCCAAAACAATCTATATTATAGACAATTCTTATTTGCATTAAAGTATTTGTAGTTAATGCATATTAGTCATCTCGAAATTGTACTTATTTTTCTAGATAACTTTAAAATCTTCTTACAAATATGGGTGAGTAAAATGAGAACAAGTAAAAAACAATACATCCCCTCCCCTCCAAAAAAACATAACAACAACAACACACACACACAACTACACTGATTTGAACATAAACACAATTATTCTTTTTTATTTTATGCACAATAAAATAACTGAATTAATTTATTGCATTATAATCTAATTTTATTTCTTCTTTTTTTCTCTCGTTTATGTTGTATAACATTTGAATATTTCTGTGAAATCTTGCCCTATAAAACAATCTACCTTTTCTTTTTTCCATTTTCCAACGATTATTTATAAAAAGTTAAATATGTTGTATACGTTGTGTTTAAATAAATAATTCTTCTGTTAAGAAATATGTTTTGTTTCCATGTGTTTATATACATATAGTCGTATATATATAGACATATAGATTACTTACTTACATACGCCTGATACTCCCGATGGAGCATAGGCCGCTGACAAGCTTTTCCTTTTGTGCATGTTGAAACCTACTGATGCTGAGGCTGCCAGATATATATATAATTTAACATAGGCAAGTTATACTTACTTCAAAATGAAATACAACAATGTGTTAACGATTTCAATAGTTGTTTCTAATCATTTATCCATTAAGTTGTATACAAGAATTTAGTTCTAGTTAGTGTGTATGTGTATGTGTGAAGCGTATTGTTACATGAATCACATAGTGTATACAACTTGTTAAATGATATTAAAGTAAAATCATCTGTAAATCATTTGGTTGTATGTAATGCCAAAACGATATCACTTATGATTACGAAGTTTTAAACTCCAATCAATGTAATAGTTTTTATTTTATGAAAATAATTTGAATTAATCTAGCTATTAAATATAACATTAAATAGATAGTACAAATTATTTATGCTAACAAGTTATTAAATATTTTGTAAACTAAATGAAATGGGTCTAGAAATGGGATAGATATGGAAGGCATATTTTACTCTATGTAAGACTGGTCAATTGAATATACTTGAATCCAAGTGTTGACATTCATATTGAGACTGGAACTCAATATCTTTCCATTCAAATTCCTGCGTGCTGTTTATCTACTAACTAATGAATTCAGAAAATTAACAATTTTTAAAAAAAATTGGTACCAGGTTTATATTAAGACCCAGTTCTATTTAACAACAATGGGATAATATAAATTATTCATAATAATAAGTTACTACTTCAGAAATACATATCTGTTTAAGGAGTTTTCATCAGTTATTAATAGGGAATGATTTTAATGTTAGATATATAATTTCTATTATACTGTCAGCAGGTGAATATGCTTCAAACTTCATTATTTTAATTGTTTTACTGCAATTACAAAACAAGTCCATGAATTCCTCTAACACTAAGTGGTTGGTATTATAGAAGTATAAATAGATGCCATCGTTCTAACTAATCTGTTAATTGTTTATGAATCATTAAATTTACTATTGAATAATTCAGTTAATTTATCAATAAAACTGTCCATAAATTTAGTTAGAGAATATTGACTATTTTTGCATAGATTCTTATTATTATCAAAGTATATACTTGTGATTTATCAGTTCATGTTTTAATTTGGCAATATTATCGTATTTATAGCGTGGTTAATTCATGATATTAAGGATCATATTTATTTAATGTTTAACAAAATTGTTTTCTTCAGTATAATATGTTTGCATGTAAGGTAAATGTGAGCAGTTGTCCAATATAATTATGCACTTATGTGATTTATTCCAATTAATATTTTAATGCTTGTTACCAAGTCTATTTTAATTGCTTGCATCAGTTATAGTTATGTTGGTGTTAGGTTTTGTTTTGTTTTCCTGTTCTGTTATGTAATTTGTTCAGTTTTGATATTGCGATTTTATTTTCAGTTTCGTCAAATGTGCGCATGTCTGTATTTTTTATGTTTAAAAATCATGCTACTTTATATTATTATAAGTAGATAAACTTACAAATGAATTATTTTGATTTTATCTTCCTGAATAACTCATGTTTAGTGATTTAGTACATGCAATCTGTTGGATAGTAAAAAAACCAGTACGTTTGGAATTTAAAAATTTATCTTTAACATCTGTCCTAAATTTAAGACTGATGATGTAAAGATTTTAAATAGTGATAATTAGCCTTTATCAATCCTTTTCGTCAATCTATCTGTTTATGCAATTCCTAAACATTGATACTGAAATAATTTTGCCTCCAATCTCCGATCCAAACGTAGCAATAGACTACCAATATTCGTAAAACAGAAAGAACTCTATGGTTTCTTTATATATAAGAGATTCATGCTCTCATTTGGCAACAGTAATAGGAATCGAATCAATTATAATTACTTACGAGAAAAATGTTTATGAATATAGGAACTTGGAATGAATTGATACTGGAAGATAAAACAAATATTTAGCTGTCAATGTCATTTCCTCAACCAACGAAGGAACACTGTACTAAAATACTTAATTTTATGATCAAAATGTACCACTATAATCATTTTATTAAGTCAATCATAGACAATATTTGTAGACAACATTGAGAACAAACAGTAAATTGAATTACTATATTTTAGTTATAATCAGATAAGAGTTTTGGGGAGATTCTAGTAATTTAATAATTGAATTCATGAGTCGATTGAAGCCAGACTATCATGGAAAACCTGGAAATACTGGATGGACGTTTCATTCTAGTACGGGACTCCTCAGCAGTGCGCATTCATGATCCCGACCATCGCAATATTTGAACACAGGATCTATCGGTATTGCGCGCGAACACTTAATCTCTACACCGCTGAGCCGGCATCCAACCGTGTTAATGTTTAACTCCAACCAATCCACGAAATTGAGCAACACATCCACCAGTGTCTTCAGTGAGTTACTGTTTCTCAACAGACCTGGTTGAATTCCACTGGTCACGGTTTCTCACTAGAACTCCAGGAAATAACAAGATTTATTATTAGTTTAATTAATTTAATTTTGACATGACATATATTAGGAAGACAGTGAATAATTTGTTGCGAACATGTTGTACTTCTTTCTTAGATTAATGTTACTGTTTTGGGGGAATCATAGGTCATAATCTCTTTTAAAATATTAATTACTAAATATAACAAACGTGATATTAAAATAAACCTAACACGAAATGAGATTTAACATAAACTGAGAAATATAATGCTGGAATATAACCGTACAGATATAATAACATCAAAGTATGATTTCGATCTAAGTTTATAAGTTTATGTGAAATTGGTTGCTATGAAGTAATCATTTAGTTTAATTTTCTCTGTCCTATAAATCTAAGTCCTTTGAGGAGCAGCCTTTTCCCTTAAATAATAAATATAAATAAGTTATGCGTATCAAGTAATATGAAACTAGGTCTGAAGCTTCCTAACGATCACCAAAGTCCTCCACAATGAAATCTAATAAATTTTTAAATCATATCATAATAGAAATTTGAAGGTTTCTTTGAGTTTTAAGTTTACTTTTCATTTCATAGATTAGTAATAGGTGGAGGACTATTGATTATCAGCTGCATCATCCTCAATTTGAAATTTCCTTGCACAATACAGAATCAAATCTAGGAGCATGAAATATTCTGGGCAGTTCCATACAATTAAACTAATAAGCAAGGAGAAAATAATTCGCATCTAACTCATAGTAATGAACAAGTATTACCCAATGTTTACACTAATTTTTGTTCTGTTTCAAAGTTTAATAATTCGATATGCTTGATAATAACTAGCTTTCAAACAGATTGACGAGGGTGTGTTCAGTAAACAAAATGAATGTAGATCAGGCACATTTTGTGCGCAACAAGTAATCATGATGATAATATAAGTATCCATTCCATATTTGGACCTGATAGTTTCAATAAGTGACGATCTTGAAAATAGAAAATTTCTGGAACTGAGAGATAATAAACTTTGGTTTTCAGATCATAAGTTCATAAATAGTGTTTTTTTTACCTTGAGAGCTTCTTTATTGTGATACTATTCACTGCAATATTTGACTGCACCCCAAGTAGTTCTTTCAAGAACTTTTAGATTTTCCACAGTTCTTCAGGTGATTATATTAATTGATGAAACTAACTTCAAATGTTTCACAACTGAATTAATGAATTAAGTTCACGTTGATCATATAATATGAATCAAATGTTTGAAATATTTCCATTTCCATTTCTTCATTCGTCTAATAAAATTCGATTGATTTTAGTATTGAGGAAGAAGCATAGTATTTAGTCTCTAGGGATTACTTTTAGTAGTACACCTACAAAATACTTAAAATTAAGTCTTCAAACCATATAAATATCCAGTAATCTGTTATTAATTTACTTGTCTATATACATGAAAATAGTGTGAATCTTACTGTATGAAACAAAATGTTTATCGAATCTACAGGTATACACAAATAGCAATAATTGTCATGGATACATTAAAACGTTCTATAGAAATGTAATAAAATGAAATTTCTAGCAGGTGAACTATTAGTTAGAAATTAAACACATTTCATAAATCATTTATTTAAACTATATTAAACTTTAGGTAATATCGGCTTTTGACTAACAATCGATTCATATTTAGAACTTGTCATCATCCCAATATTGATATTTATATGGGAGGTTCATTTCTGTATCTTTCAAAAGCCGATTGTCTACTAAACTACAAAGTTCGGATAAGTGATAACTAATGAAACAGGAATCAATATGATTTTTTGTATCAATGAATTATGTCAATTTAACCAGATAGTATTTCACTAAATGAATATGTTCTATTATCATTATCCAAATATAAATGTTCAGCATAGTTTTTATTCTATTTTTTCTAAAAAAAATAAAATATACAAACCAATGGGGATCTTAAAATATAAACCTTAATCTGTAAAAATTTAAAAATCAAGTGTGTTTTTTTTATGTCCCGACAAGAATAATGAATGGTAACTTTTGGGATCCATTTACGGACCAATACTAAACTCATATTCTTATTGTATAATTATTAAGTCATTAAACTATGCATATTCATATTCCTATTAATATAAGCTTTATTTTGACCCATAAACTATTATTATACGATTTACCCAAAATATATATTACTATCTCCCTCATTCACAGCCACATCTGGCTAATTCTTGTACAAATGTTGTTTCATATTTTATTGGTACGTTGTAGTCTGTTTGATTGGTATATAAACTCAGTATGTTTGAAATATAATGATTCATATTACAGAGGCTGAGATTGGTGTTCTGGACTTAACTGGCTGGGCTAGGCGGAAAGCAGGACCAATCAAGACTCTAGACTGCTCGCACGTGTTTTACGCGTCCTTGGTCCGATCGATAATTCACTGCCCTCTAATCGGCGGTCACAAGTTATA